CTACCCCGACTGGCCACAGTCTGCTTTCTGTAGTCTGATGGACAATAAACTGGCCCTTTTTGTTTGAAAATATTGAAGACACCCTGCTCTAAATGTTTACCTGTTTGCTGCTGCTATAAGTATTACAGCAAAAGATATATATATATATATATATATATATATATATATAATATATATAGATATATAGATATATATGCGATATATATATAAATATATGAGAATAGAGAGATAGAGAGAGAGAATTTATATATAATAAATAATTGTAAAATATGAATATTATTGAGATAGAGAGATAGATAGATAGATAGATAGATAATAGATAGATAAGATTAATAGACAAAATCCAGTTAGATAGATAGACTGGATAGATAGATATGTGGTATATAACCTATATATATATAATAGAAGTATATATATAAACCTCAAATATACAAATAAAAACAGCTCATGGTACCAATTTTAAATATAATCGCCACTGAGGACATGGGTCTAACAATTGTAAAGCGTATATGCGGTAATGCATAATGCACTATTCAAACACCTTCTTTTGTACTAGCATATTGTGCAGTTTTGGATTTGATATCGAGTATTTTTTGTTTTTAAACCATATGAGAATTATTTTTGGTATGAATCCTTTTTTTTTTTTTTTTTTTTTTTTTTTTTTTTTTCTGTGGTATGTTTTTTCTCTGTACACTTTCCTGTCTACATTAGTGGAGATAAACTGTACATCCCAGCAGATATTAAAGCTGAACTGACTGCATAGGTCTCAGAGGACTCTTGTCATAATGTGCAAGTATGCACATGTATTTGCACATTATGGCAACCATGGTAGCAAAAGCATCCTATTCCAGCAACGCAATGATTGTGATCTATGTTAACACTTTATCGCCAATACTGACAACTTCGTCTAGCCGTCGTTTGGGTCCAGAGTCTTCATCCACATTGATTGGCAGGCCTGGGATGACGTACAGGAACAAACTGCCCCCCCCCCCCCCCCCGCCTTAGAGCAATTCATATGTGCCCCCTCCCTTTTCCTTCCTCTAGTCTATATCCTTGATCAGCTCCCTCTGTGCCTCCTCTCCTCTTGACCTCCAGTCCATGATCAGGTCCTTATCTGCTTCCAATCCCATAACGACTGTGCCTGGTATTAATATAGAGCAGAAACAGCAGTCAACTTTCTCTGCCTCCTGATATGCTCAGACATAGTTAAACTGTTCTCCCTATGGTACATGGACAGCTCACACTCTTGTCTCCTTAGCTCATGATGAGATGCTATTGCCTGCATCTAAACTGCAACTAAAATATTGCTTTGCACAATATTGTACATAATATCCCTAACCAAAACCATTCAGCTGAAAGTCCACATTTTAGACCATGCTTCATGTACACCCATATTTAGGCCTCATTCACACAGGGAGCTTAATGCCTGTGCAGGGCAGTATTTTACTGACATGGGGATGCACAGGTGCTGGGTGCATCTTTGTGCCAGTAGTCCTATAGCTGTTGGGACACAGCAGCCATATGGACACAACTACTGCTTCCAATGTGACATCCATGTGGGTGCACAACCCCAATTGCACCTAGGGTGTGTTTTGGGGATATGTACTCATGCTGCTAGTGTCCCACTAGACAGGAATGTGACTGCCCACACTGGGATGCACAAGGCACTTCTGTGTTCCTGTGAGGGTAAACACAGCCCTGCACGGGCACAGATAAAATCGCCCTATTGTGAACAAGACCTTGGAGATGAACATGAAACATGGTTGCATACACTGTAATGGAACCGACCCAGACTGGGCTTGAATACTTCCGTTAGAATACCGCTTCCCTGTCTGAACACAGACAACAGACACCACAGCTGACCATACAAGACTAGACAACACCAGTCTGTCTGAACATGGTATTCTTTATTTTAAACTCAGATGGGCTTTTTATACAATACACACAGACTGATCACATGATCATATGCAAACTCGGCTATATACAGAAATAGACGTCACACTCTAAACAGTAAGTTAATTAGGTTAGCTAGCTGGGTGACCAAAACAAAAGGTGAATGGGAATTCATACCTAGACAATGGTTTGATGAATTGGGATCTCACTAAAGAGCAGATGGTCCAGCTCCTACACTGGAGTAGAGGAGAGGCCAGCGTGATCAGCTCTTTCAATTCACATGTCTAATTCAGATTCAACAACCAGGAATAGTCTTCATATGGCTGATAAATATTACTGTCCCATCTGAAGTAATTCCAACCGCATTCTCAGTGTCCATTAGTCACTGTGCCACTAAGAGACACAGGGTGACTTGCACATAAGAGGGATATGAGGAGCTGAGACAGGGGTCTCCCAACCTCTGCAAAGTAAGCTGGGTTCCATGAGCCCCCACCCAAAGTGACTCCCGTCACATACACCATACCTCAAACGTTAGTCATCTTGAAATATTTTCATTTCTCAACTGTTATAGGCCAGGGGTCTCCAGACTTTATAAACAAAGGGCCAGTTCACTGTCCTTCAAACTTTAGGGGGGCCGGACTAGGGCCGGTGAGAGTAAACGATGCCTTATCTTTGGTGTCAGTGGAAGGACTAGTGCCTTGGTGTTAGTGGAAGGAATAATACCCCATCATTGGAGTTAGTGGGAGGAATAGTGTCCCATCATTGGTATTAGAAAAAGGAATAGTGTCCCATCGTTTGGTATCAGTGGGAGGAATATTGCCCCATCACTGGTGTCAGTGGGAGAAATAGTGCCCCATTGTTGGTATCAGCGGAAGGAATCCTATCGCATTGTTGGTGCCAGTGGGAGGAATTGTACCCTTTCTTTGTCAGTGGGAGGAATTGTGCTCTTTCTTTGTCAGTGGGAGGAATTGTGCTCTTTTTTTGATATCAGTGGGAGGAATAGTGTCCCATCGTTGGTATCCATGTGGGAGGAAACGTTTCCCATCATTGGTGTCAGTGGGAGGCATAGAGCCCCAAGGGCTGGACAAATGCAAGTAAAGGGCCACAGTTTGGAGACCACTGTTATAGGCCATGTTGCCACAGCCATATTTGAATTCTTCAAATATACAGTATCTTACAAAAATGTGAGGGGTGTACTCCCTTCTGTAAGTATTTGATTCTATCTTTTCATGTGACAACACTGAAGAAATGACCCTTTGCTACAATGTAAAGTAGTGAGTGTACAGCTTGTATAACAGTGTAAATTTGCTGTCCCCTCAAAATGACTCAACACACAGCCATTAATGTCTAAGCCGCTGGCAACAAAAGTGAGTGCACCCCCCCCCCCCCCCTAAGTGAAAATGTCCAAATTGGGCCCAAAGTGTCAATATTTTATGTGGCCACCATTTTTGACCAGTCCTAAACCCTATTGAGCATCTGTGGGGCATCCTCAAATGGAAGGTGAAGGAGTGCAAGGTCTCTAACATCTACCAGCTCCGTGATGTCATGGAGGAGAGAGAGGACTGCAGCGGCAACCTGTGAAGCTCTGGTGAACTCCATGCCCAAGAGGATTAAGGCGGTGCTGGAAAATGGCAGCCACACAATAATGATACTTTGGGCCCAATTTGGACATTTTCACTTAGGGGTGTACTCACTTTTGTTGCCAGCGGTTTAGACATTAATGGCTGTGTGTTTATTTGGAGGGGACAACAAATTTACACTGTTATACAAGCTGTACACTCACTACTTTACATTGTAGCAAAGTGTCATTTCTTCAGTGTTGTCACGTGAAAAGATAGAATAAAATATTTACACAAATGTGAGGGGTGGACTCACTTCTGGGAGATACTGTAGCTTTAGCAGATTTATTCAGAAAAAGTGCCAGTGAGCAGTGTGCCATGTATAAAATGCAGTACTCATTGCTGTACTCATAGCAACCATTAACGCTCTATCTCCAGCATAGTGCATGCCGTATTGTTCATTAAATCTTTAGGATAAGTCAAGTATCTACACACTCACTGATGGTTCAGATGTATTTTAAGGCCCAAATATTTTTTTTCATTTCAAATTGTGTGTGTGTGTGTTTCTGCATAGCATGGGTTGTTAGTGCCTGGTTCAAAGCAAGTAATATGCACCCCCTTATTTACAGCAGAGCGGCCAGCCAATAACGCTGTTACATCACGGTTATAGGCTTTCCGAAAGGGGGGGTGGGTGAGAAGTCAGGACTGACATATTACCCACATTTTACACCGGGAGATCCTCTAAAATGACACCCATATAATGCTTTCAGATGCCTGTAATGTACCCAGATCCCATCAGCATGGTTCCCTGATCACTACATCAGCCGTGGTGAGGGAGTCTGAATCTTGTCATGTCATCTAATATCCCTGCGTCGTCTCACCTTCCTGTTGTCCCCTGGATCCATCACCAGCTGCATGTAGCTAGGCAAAATCAGAACCCGGGACCCTGATTGGCTCTGCCATTAGTTCACAGGTCGGGTGCTGCCTCCTCTGCTCTTCTCACTCTCACCAGCAGTCCCCTGCTTGTCCTTCCTTAATGGACTCCCCTTACCCTCCCGCCAGGCCCCACTCCAACCATATTCTTGTCTGAATGTGTCTGGGTTTCAGGCAGACACATTATTCAGATCAACCGTGAATGAGCTGACAAAACCACGTGCCAGGACGCAATTTCTAGTTTCCATGGGGACCTGGCGCCTGGAATTTGTTGAGCCCTGGAGTAGGGTTTAACCACTTGCCTACAGGGCACTTATATCCCCTTCCTGCCCAGGCCAATTTCCATTTTTCAGTGCTGTTGAACTTTGAATGACAATTGCGTGGTCATGCAACACCGTACCCATATGAAATTTTTATCTTTTTTTTTTTTTTTTTTTGTGACAGCTTTATTTTGGTGGTATTTAATCACCTCTGGGGTTTTTTTTTTTGTTTGTTTTTTTTTTTTTTTCTTAAACCAAAAACCACTGAAAAATTTTGAAAGCAAAAAAAAAAAAACCTTTTTCTTAGTTTTTTGTTATAAAATTTTGTAAAGTGTTTGTTTTTTTTTTTTTCTCCACTGATGTGCGCTAATGAGGCTGCTGTGATAGGCACTGATGGGCATTGACAGGCATCACTGATGGGCACTGAAAGGCAGCACTCATATATGGCACTGATAGGCGGCTCTGCACACTGAGAGGCTGCACTGACTGGCACTGATAGGTGGCACTGATGGGTGACACTGAAAGGCAGCTTCGATGCACACTGATATGTGGCATTGATGTGGCAATGATGGACACTGGCAGGTGGCGCTGCTGGGGCTACACAGATCATCAGGGCACACTGATCATCAGTGCTCTGATGATCTGTGTACATGTCCCCTCCAAGGAATGCCAATTACCGTCTCTCCTCTCTTCACGATCTGTCAGCGTGACAGCTCGTGGGGAGAGAAATGCAGATAACCGTCGATCGCCGCGCATGCGCGGTGAAAATGGGAGGACGTCATATGACGTCCTTCCAGAACGAGAGAGCCACCTTGCGTCCATCATTTTACTATATGGCGGGCGGGGGGTGCGTTAAAGGATAAGCTCACTTTTTGGACAAAAATAAATGCACTTTTTTTTTGGAGGTAAAAAAAGCAAGCAGATATACTGAGAGGAAGCTTCAATGGACTACCACGGTGCTCCACAGCGCCATGGTAGTTCATTGAAAACTACAAGCCCACAGCCGCTAAGGCTGTCGGGACTTGTAGGCACTCACTCCCAGAACACTGAGAATGAGTGACACGGCCGTGTGTATGGAGCCCCTCATGGTCCCGCTGTTTTCAAATCTGACAGTACGGAGAAACTTCTCCCCATACTATCTGTTATGGGGGGGTTGCGGGCGTGTCTGTGGCTATGGGAACATGTTACATGTTCCACCCTAAAAACGGGTCCTTTATCCTAAAGCCAAACAAGGAGGGAAAGAAAATTGTCTCCAAAGTGAGAGGGAGATGGGAAATTCCCTCAGAGTCCCCACTGGGAAATCCATGTTCTTATTCAACCTCGAATCATACTTGAGGAGCTGCCTGCACCTTTTTAGTTTTGTACTGAAAACCAGAAGAATACGTCTATGCATGGTTTCAGGAAAGGAAATAAACTTATTCTAGATTGTCCTTTTTGGGTCTGTGTGTGTGTGTATAACTATATAAACAGAGTAGGACAAAGTCAGTGTGAGCATACAATTCAGAGAGAGATCTCAGTGTACTGTGCCTTCCAACAATGGTTTAGGACACATTTTTATAATTCTATTACTTCTGCAGCCTAGTGTGCATACATGAAGGGCTTACATATGAGTCACAAACCCAACAAGCTAAGTATTATTGGTCTAGGGCAGTGGTCTCCAAACGTCAGCCTAGGGGCCAGATGTGGCACTTTGCTTGCTTTTATCTGGCCCTTGAGGCACCTTTCCTCCCACTGATATGAGACTGTTCTGCCAACTGACAACGTTGGGGCATCATTGCTTCCACTAGAACCAACAGTGGGGCACTATTCCTTCCCCTCATACCAACTGTTGCGATGCTTACACTCACTGATCCAGGAAAATATTCCAATCCTGCTGGCCACAATCTGGCCCTTCTAAAGTCGTCTGAAGGACTTTTTTTTTTTTTTTTTTTTTTAAAGTTTGGAGACCTCTGGTCTAAGGCATTAACATCCGATAGATCAACAGAGCTACCTAAAGTATCAGGCTTTGTAATACTAACACTCTACCCTAAGCTGAGAGTAGAAACGGGAGCCACAAAAATATGAAGTTCACACGGAGTAGAAAAAAGGGGAAAGATGACATAAGTGGGGAAATAAAGATGAGAATAAGAAGAGGAAAAGGGGGGCATCTGGCTGGCCTATCAATGACCGTTGGAAGCAATAGCATTTGGAGAAGTATTTCATGTTTGTTTTTCTTTCTTTGTTCTTAGGCACATTTAAACTCACAATAGAATTTACAGAAGAATATCCTAATAAACCACCTACAGTTCGATTTGTATCTAAAATGTTTCACCCCAATGGTAAGTAAAATATAACATTCAGCTGTGCAGTTGCACTGTGGCCATATCTTCAAATATTCTAGCTATATCTTATTTTTTTTTTTTTTTTCCCCATGAAGAAAGTTTGAGAACAAGACTTGATTTTTGATGATGTGATTTTGTTTCTGGCATCTTACATTTGAATACTCTTTAATGTGGTACTGTCCCATAAATGTCCAAAACCATAATCGGTGAAAGTCTGACAGAAGAAAATACAGCCGGTTTTGCCACAATGGGGTTGATTTACTAAACCTGGTGAGAGTGCAAAGTCTGGTGCAGCTGTACATGGTAGCCAATTGGCTTCTAACTTCAGCTTGTTAAATTAGGCTTTGACAATAAAACCTGGAAGCTGATTGGTTTCTAAGCAGAGGTGCACTAGATTTGGTACTTTCCAGTTTTAGTAAATCTCCCCCATTGTCTCTTTCTAGTGCATGTAATGTCCAAAGAAAACTATATATCAAGCAGTGTATAAATGCAGAATTTCTTCTAAAAATACCATTTACTTCCCCCTTAATGCTAATATAAATATGAAAGTAAATATCCAGGATTTTGATAAATTGTATTTACTTGAACCATAATCTATTTTTATTTTCTTTTTATGTAGAATAGGAGCCATTTTAGATAACATGATCCTCATAACAATTGGTAGCATGTATAGTTTAAAATTAAGAGTAGAATTTCTATGACAGTGAATAGTCAGACTGTGTTAAAACAATCTACTAAGACCACATTTATGTTGGCACTTTCACACCTGCATTGTTGGGACATTTCTAAACAGGGAATAAAGTAAGTATTGAACATGTCACCATTTTTCCAGGTAAATTTCTAAAGGTGCTATTGACATGAAATGTTCACCAAAAACAAGTTAAGAAATTAAGTTATGTGTAATAAAATGGAAAGACACAGGGAAAAAGTATTGAACACATGAAGAAAGGGAAGGACAAAAAAGCATGGAAAGCCAGGACACCAGCTGAAATCTATCAGTAACAGGGGAGGACTGAAAACTCATGGGGATCATGGGGCCCCTGTGTCCTTGCCCAAACTCAAAAAAGCCTATGAAAAAGGTACCAGGGGCATCTCATGGAGTCCCCTACTGACCCCCTGGGCCCTCGGGCAGTGCCCGAGTTTCCAAATGGTCAGTCCGCCCCTGATCAGTAATTAGCAGTCCTGCCCCTTCATTATCAACTGATGGCCTATAAAAAGGTGTCTTATTACTAGGGTATCGCACAAGAAATCTCACGATGGGTAAAAGCAAAGCGCTCTCTCAAGACCTTCGCAACATTATTGTTGCAAAGCATACTGATGGCATTGGTTACAGAAGGGTTTCTAAACTTCTGAATGTTCCAGTGAGCAGTGTTGGGACCATAATCTGGAAGTGAAAAGAACATGATTTCACCATAAATCGGCCACGAGCAGGTGCTCTTCACAAGATTTCTGACATAAGCCTTTTAAAGAATTCCTCCTCTGGACTGCACATTATCATTTCTACAAAATACTTTTGCAATACATCTTTTTTTTTTTTTTTTTTCCGAATGGCATAAAGTCATGACATGAGGAACGTCTCTTTAACAAGGACTTCCTTAACTATGGAATTCCACATGCAGAGCGTTGTTGGTCATTCTGGAATAATGTCGATGTTTATATATGGCCTATTAATATCCCCCAAATCCCAAAAAGGGGGGAATGTGAGATCTGTGGAGTGCAGTGTTTTTTTTGTCATGCTTTTAAAGATGTTTTCATTAAAGGAGTCGTTCATGTGTTTTTTGACCACCAGCCTTATTTAATGTTTAGTATAATTTAATTAAAAACCTATTAGTCCTGGGTGAGTCCATAACTAATCATTTTAGTTTGGTTTACATTTGGATCCTTGATTGGGGACTCCTGGACCATTTATTGCTCTTAGACCTTGAGGCTTCTTTTTGGGAGGCATCAACATTTAGACCAGCCTGTGAAATATGGGGAGAATATAGTCTGGTCAGATGAGACCAAAATTGAACTCTTTAATGCAATAATACGTGACATGTTTGGAGGTCAAATGGCACTGCACATCACTCCAAAAACAACATAACAGTGAAGCGTGGAGGTGGGAAAATCATGATGCGGGGCTGTTTTTTTTCAGCATACGGTACTGACAAACTCAATGTCATTGAAGGAAGGATGAATGGAAAAATGTACCAAGACATTCTTGATAAAAATCTGCCATCTACCAGGATGATGAAGATGAAACGAGGGTGGACATTTCAGCAAGACAATGATCCCAAACACAAAGCCAAGGAAATGCTCAATTGGTTTCAAAGAAAATAAGGCTGCTAGAATGGTCCAGCCAATCATCTGACTTGAATCCAATAGAAAATCTATGGAAAGAACTAAGATCAGAGTTCATAGAAGAGGTCCATGGAACATTCAAGATTTGATGACTGTGTGGCAGAATGGGCCAAAATCACACCTGAGCAATGCATGCGACTAGTTTCTCTATACAGGGGGTGTCTTGAAGCTGTCATTACCAACAAAGGATTTTGTACGAAGTATTGAATAAATGTTGTTGGCATATTCAATACTTTTTTTTTCCCTACGTCCATTACATTTTATTACACATAACTTAAAGTGGTTGTAAACCTAAAAAACAAAAATCAATCTAATACAGTTGAATAGATTTTACCTTTTTTACTAAGCATTTGAGCTTAGTTTGGTATTTTGAAGCAATGCCCTTCTCCAGAAATCCTCTCTGCTCTTCTGAACAGAGTAAATCCAACACACGCAGAAAAATGGTGTTGGCACTCCCCTTCTCCTGTGAGTGACGGGCTGTGCGGAAGACGAGGCCAGCATGAGCCTCCAGAAATAAATGCACATTTTTTTTTTTTTTTGCAGGAAAAAATTACATGAACTTGCTTATTTTGGTTTCTTTGTATGTATGGACTGCATGGTTTGTTACCAACATGTGGTGAAAATTTCATGTCAATAGCACCTTAAGAAATATATTTACCCAGACAAATGGTGATGTGTTCAGAACTTATTCTACCTGCTGTAAATGCATGTGATGTAAAAAAAAAAAAAAAATGGAGCATGCTATGGGTGTTTTTTTTTCTTTTGTTTAACACTCATAAGAGCACTGCAATGATGTTAACTAGGCTAATAGAAATGCATTCATATTTCTTGTAATATGCACTTGTACTGCATTTAAAAACGTATTTGACTGCATCTGATGTAAGTGAGCCCTTAAAGGAATATCTAAATGCAGGGAAAGGGGATCAGGAAAGCAGAAACATTTTTAACTTTTTCTAACCCCAGGAGAGGTCATCTGGGAAGAATGAACACAGGAGTGCCAGTGTCTGATCGCTGAATAGAATAAAAGCTCTTTTTACTTGCCTAAGCTGAGGTCATGTCATACTTCAGCCCTGGGTCTTCTCTCCTGTTCTTTTAAAATCCATTGGGGTCCTTCTTCAGGTGTCCATGTTGCAGCCTGCTTGACACGGGCACTCCCTATTTGTTGTCCAGCGTTAGAATCATCTTATGATCTCAGAGGAGTGACGGTGTGAGGGAACTGTAGGAGACTGGTCTGCAAGAGACCATCTGCATCATTTGGGTTAGTGGTCCTCTGCGCAGGTGAGGGATCTGCATGGCAGACATAAGGGAGTAGAACGCGCTTGTTCATATTTTGCCCAGATTGGAGGTGTAACCTGTTCCCTCCAGCTGTACACTTTTATATGCAGCCTTTGGGTGGTCTTTGCCACTGATATGTGTGCGTAGAGAAGGTGGGGATGCACTCCCAGCCCAGTAAATCAAATCTCATGGAAAGCTCCCGACGCACACTTTCAATTGGGAGCTTCCAGTTATGTAATCGCCATGACAGCTGTCATATGATCAGAATGCCCCTCTCCGCCTTCCAGAATTTAAATCCTATTAAAGAGATATGGAGTTGGGACAGGAAGGGGTTAAAGAGTGCCCATAAAGCAAAACTCATCGGAGTGCAGCTACTGTGTGAAAGAAAGTTACAGCGCAATGTTTTTTACTTTTTAAACATTTTTTTTTTCTTTTGTTTTTTAGTGTATGCTGATGGCAGTATATGTTTGGACATTCTTCAGAATCGTTGGAGTCCAACTTATGACGTTTCTTCTATTTTAACCTCTATACAAGTAGGTTCAGTCAAAGCTAGTTGTGTTGATTTTACTGCTTGTCCTTTAGTGTCCAGTATGCAGCTTCTGATCTTTCTCTTCTTCTGTTTCCAGTCCCTGCTGGATGAACCAAATCCAAACAGTCCGGCAAATAGCCAGGCAGCACAGCTGTACCAGGAAAACAAGCGAGAATATGAGAAAAGAGTTTCTGCAATAGTGGAACAAAGCTGGCGTGACTGTTGACCCTTGCCCTTGTATATGAACACTGACCATGCGGAAAATTATATATATGAAGTGTTTGGGTGATCTTCCTCTTGCTAGAACCTTTACATTTACATCGACCGCAAATGGCTGTTGTGCTGTCGCCACCTTCCTTGGCCCCCAGCTGATGCTTGCCCCCACCTTTTGGACACCTGAAAGCATTTGTGTTGAAATCAAATGTACCATACGTGGGTTACTTGCAAAACCTTTTCCTTTATTTCCGTCTGTGGTCCACAATTGATTCACTGTTGTAGGTTATGAGAGTCATCTGCAGTCTGTTTGAAGAGCAATGGATAGGCAGGTTGTGTCCACACCAACATTCAAGGACATCAAGTTAGCAGTGCTGATGATCAGCATAGAAAATGTTTATTAGGTTTTATTTTGATTTCTTTTACAGGGTGTTTTTTTGCAGGTTAGGATGACAAAAAAAGCATTGTTCAGGTATAAAGTGGAATGCCACCTTTTTGGTCTTGGATAGCATGGGAAAGGATAGGAATCCCTCAGATTTGTATTGCTCTGTTGGACCCTGATAGTCACTCTTACTTTCTGTACCAATGCTGAGAGAGGGGGAGGTAAAATACAAAAATGTAGTGTCATTAGAACAGGAGATGTGTGGAAAATGTATACAGGAGACACGTTCTTGTCAGTTTTCAAAGGTGGTATTCCCTCTTGCTGTAGGGAGAATTTCTCTGGGACAGGAAGTGAGGGTGAAACTTCACAACGGGGACCCATACTAAAACCTGAGGGGTTCTAATCAGATGGGGTTTTGGTGTATTTATCAGACCAAAACAATCTGTGAGATGGTTCTACTCAAGTTTATTATAGTATGTTGAGGGCAAGAAGAATTATCATTTTAATGTACTGTACTCAAAGTTTTCACCTTAATTATGGGACACCTTTTTATTTCAGCCAATCATTAGACTAATACAAAAATGTTTTACTTTCAATTTATCTGACTGTGTTTTTTCTGTATAAACATAAAATCTGAATTGTGTGCTTTTTTTTTTTTTTCTTTAAGCCTCCTTTTTAAGTCCAATTTGGTTCCATCTGCATAGTTTATACTGACACTGCTTCATTTTTGTACAAGTAACCCATGTAAAACTGTACATCATCTAAACTTGTAAATAAAAAGAAAATAACCTATCTGTCTTTATGCAACATTATCACTTGGAAAATGGAAGCATGAAGTGTCACAGATGGTGTAGAACAATAGGTGCCAGTTTGGCCATGTTGCCAAGTGTGTGCCATATTAGACCCCTCCGCCCTTTTTCTAAGCGGTACAAATATACATGAAGGTTTGTGTTAAGGGTTATGAATATATAATCTGTCAAGTGCACAAAAGTAAATTTTCACTGAGGGACAAAAGGATTTTGAGGTTTTTTTTCTTAGTGAAAATGGTAATACAGGTGTATCCAACTTTACAACAGCCTCGGTTTGCTTATTATTTTTTTCAAAATATGAAGTGTATGTCGGTGCCAATTGTTTAAATGCAATTGCTGTTTTGTTTTTTTTGTTTTTTTTTCCTTCACTATAGCTCACAGAATTAGCTGTCACTTTCCCCAGAGCTAAAGGATACTTTTTTTTCTTTTATCTCGGGAAACAAGCTAAAAAGAAACATTTTCTGTTAACTCAGGGAAATAAACTAAAAGGAAACTTTCTTTCTTTTAGCAGGGGGGGGGGGGGGGGGGGAGGAAACTTTCTTTTAGCTGGGGGGAAAGTGACAGCTGATTCTCTGAGCTATAGTGAAGAAAAAAAAAATCCAGTAATTACATTTAAAAAGCAGCACTGACCTATAGTGACAGTGACTTTTTTTTTAACTTAATCCATTCCAGAGATCAGAAAAAGTTTTCAATACATTCCTATGCATTTCGGTTTATGAATTGTTAGCAATACGAAACGTCCCGGAGAACGCATTAAATTCGTAAACCAATGTACACCTGTACAAAGTTTAATGGTAAACTTACATTTGAAAAATGCTTACAGAAGTTGCAAAAGTTGTTGCCGTTTAAAGTGTTACTATACACACACAAGAGTAAAGCATGCTTGTTATACTCACTGTGGAACTTAACCTCTTCACGCCAGTAGCACACAAATGTGCGGTCTCCTGGCGTCTGGGCCTTAACACCGAGCGGCCGCACATTTGTGTGCAATTAACAAAAAACATATGTGCTGAGAGCGCGCACCCAGCACACATGTCCAGTACTCATGGAAAGGTCCCGGTCTGCTCTTTCGATCGGGACCTTTCCTGATCATGTGACCGCCGTGATGACGCGTCACGGCGGTCACATGATCCCTAAACCCCGCCCGTCCCAGCTCCTGAAACTCTTAAAGGGCCAGGAGGCGCTGGTGGAAAGGGGTTAAGAGGTTAATCCTCTTCATTGTGTAAAAAGGCTGTTTGATCCTGTTTTTTTCTGATCCTCCCTTCCTTTTACTGTCCCCAATCCATCTGCCATAGTACAGAGCAGCAGTGGCAAGTCTGCACATGCTCTGTTTGGTGTGTGTTGCTAGAGAGGTTGTTTTATTTTTTGTTTTTTTTTTTGGGAGGGTGCATGTGATCAGCACTGTCCAGACAGAGGGGCAGGGGTCATGCAGCCTCATAGGACAGTCAGAATAGAATGAAAACTCCCACAAGTTTATCCAGTGTTCAATTGGACACTGATAGAAGTCACAAGACTGCTATATACTACTGATGAGAAAAGGTATTTAGCATTTTCTATTTACCAAAATAATTGCATTTCCATGTTCTGTGTACTGTGGGAGACTGGATATAGTGAATGCAGGGTACTGGGTTTAGTAACACTTATTTGTTTCCTGAATATTCATTCCCCACCAATTACTAGTTTATAGGATGGTAAAGGATAAATTCACTTTTTGGAACGTTTTTTTTTTGAAAGGTGATCCTTTTAAAGAGCAATATGTCAGCCATCACAACCATTTCTTTATTTACTGGTCTGACTAAAGTGAAACATATCTAGATATTTGAGCTCCAAAACATACTTTTTTTTTTTTTTTTTTTGTTTCAGTGCATTTTTTGCTGATGCATTTTCTTTTTAAAATAAAAATACGGTTGCTTTATTTCAGGTACTGATATAGTGCCGTCAATTTACACAGCGCTTTACATATATACATACAGTCAGGTCCATAAATATTTGGACATCGACACAATTCTAAAATTTTTGGCTCTATACACCACCACAACAGATATGAAATGAACAAGATGTGCTTTAACTGCAGACTGTCAGTTTTAATTTGAGGGTATTTACATCCAAATCAGGTGAACGGTGTAGGAAGTACAACAGTTTGCATATGTGCCTCCCACTTGTTAAGGGACCAAAAGTAATGGGACAGAATAATAATCATAAATCAAATTTTCACTTTTTAATACTTGGTTGTAAATCCTTTGCAGTCAATTACAGCCTGAAGTGTGGAACTCATAGACATCACCAGACGCTGGGTTTCATCCCTGGTGATGCTCTGCCAGGCCTCTACTGCAACTGTCTTCAGTTCCTGATTGTTCTTGGGGCATTTTCCCTTCAGTTTTTTCTTCAGCAAGTGAAATGCATGCTCAATCGGATTCCGGTCAGGTGATTGATTTGGCCATTGCATAACAGTCCACTTCTTTCCCTTAAAAAACTCTTTGGTTGCTTTTGCAGTCTGCTTTGGGTCATTGTCCATCTGCACTGTGGAGCGGCGTCCAATGAGTTCTGAAGCATTTGGCTGAATATGAGCAGATAATATTGCCCGAAACACTTCACAATTCATCCTGCTGCTTTTGTCAGCAGTCACATCATCAATAAATACAAGAGAACCAGTTCCATTGGCAGCCATACATGCCCACGCCATGACACTACCACCACCATGCTTCACTGATGAGGTGGTATGCTTAGGATCATGAACAGTTCCTTTCCTTCTCCATACTCTTCTCTTCCCATCACTCTGGTACAAGTTGATCTTGGTCTCATCTGTCCATAGGATGTTGTTCCAGAACTGTGAAGGCTTTTTTAGATGTCATTTGACAAACTCTGATCTGGCCTTCCTGTTTTTGAGGCTCACCAATGGTTTACATCTTGTGGTGAACCCTCTGTATTCACTCTGGTGAAGTCTTCTCTTGATTGTTGACTTTGACACACATACACCTACCTCCTGGAGAGTGTTCTTGATCTGGCCAACTGTTGTGAAGGGTGGTTTCTTCACCAGGGAAAGAATTCTTCGGTCATCCACCACAGTTGTTTTCCGTAGTCTTCCGGGTCTTTTGGTGTTGCTGAGCTCACCGATGCAATCCTTCTTTTTAAGAATGTTCCAAACAGTTGTTTTGGCCACGCCTAATGTTTTTGCTATCTCTCTGATGGGTTTGTTTTGTTTTTTCAGCCTAATGATGGCTTGCTTCACTGATAGTGACAGCTCTTTGGATCTCATCTTGAGAGTTGACAGCAACAGATTCCAAATGCAAATAGCACACTTGAAATGAACTCTGGACCTTTTATCTGCTCATTGTAATTGGGATAATGAGGGGATAACACACACCTGGCCATGGAACAGCTGAGAAGCCAATTGTCCCATTACTTTTGGTCCCTTAAAAAGTGGGAGGCACATATGCAAACTGTTGTAATTCCTACACCGTTCACCTGATTTGGATGTAAATACCCTCAAATTAAAGCTGACAGTCTGCAGTTAAAGCACATCTTGTTTGTTTCATTTCAAATCCATTGTGGTGGTGTATAGAGCCAAAAATTTTAGAATTGTGTCGATGTCCCAATATTTATGGACCTGACTGTATATAGTATACAGACCGGCTCTGTGACTTCAGCCAACAGAATATTTTACCCTGCTGTTGGCTGAAACTGGGTCACTGGAGTGTAGAAGGAGTGTAAAAATAGGTGTACTCCTTTGACCCAACTTTGGCCATACTTCTCTTTTTTATATATTTATATATATTACAGTCACATCAGTCCCTA